GGCTGGCAGGAAAGAGTGGCCTCTCAGCCCACATCCTCAAAATATTGAGAAGTGTCACAAAAACTCGGTTGTTCTGGCAGAGAACCCACGGGGGGGGGTCCCGGTCACGAGCCCACCAGCCAAAAAAAAAACAAACCCCTTGGGCCACAGCTGAGCCCTGTGATCCCCCCCTTGCTGGGATCCGGCTCTGAAAGCCCAGGAGTCCCAAATTCCCACCTCTGCTGAATTTTGCATTTCTCGGTTTCTGCTCTGCCCTTTCCCCCTTTTGGGGTTTCTCCTCTGCCCTTTCCCCCTTTTGGGGTTTCTCCTCCTGTCCTCACACAAATCTCGGGCTCGGGGTTTTTTTTTTATTTTTTTTCCTCCCCTCCTGCAAATCAATCAAAGCTGGACCTTGGCAGGTTATCCCCAGGAGGGTCTTGGTGGGATTTTCCCAATCCCTTTCGGTGCTGCTGTTGTAACCCCCGTGTCTGTCCGGGCCCACAGGGAGCCGGGACCGAGCCGTGGCTGGCAGTGACTCCTCAGGTGAGATGGGATCCATCCAGGCTGGCAATGAGCAGGTGGAGAAGGATTTCCATGATTTCCAGGGGTGTTTCCCTGCTCCATCACTGACCTGCTCCCTGTGGCTCCACCTTGCCTTGCAGATTTGGGGGTCCTGGACCACCCCCCTGCCCATGACACCACCCCGATAATAGAAGCCCCCCAGGTGAGCCCGGGGCACAGGGACAGGGATCCTCTCCTGGGAACTGGGGAGCTGGGAGGGCTCAGAGACACATCCCAGCCCCTCCAGGGCTCCAGGTCCCAGCCCGGGCCTCAGTTTCCCCAAAGCCCTCCTGGCCCTGGGGTCCCTCTCCCACCCCTGGGGTCCCTACTGGTCCCTGGGGTCCCATCCTGGTCCCTGGGGTCCTACCCCTGGGGTACCTACTGGTCCCTGGGGTCTCTATTGGTCCCTGGGGTCCCTCTCCTGTCCCTGGGTTCCCTACGGGTCCCTGGGTCCCCTCCCACCCCTGGGGTCCCTACTGGTCCCTCAGGTCCCATCCTGTCCCTAGAGTCCCCCCTGGTCCCTGGGGTCCCCCCTGGTCCCTGGGGTCCCCATAAGTCCCTGGGGTCCCTCTCCTGTCTCTGGGGTCCCTATTGGTTTGTGGGGTCCCTCTCCTGTCCCTGGGATCCCCCTCCCACCCCCAGGGTCCCTACTGATCCCTGGGGTCCCCCCTGGTCCCTGGGGTCCCTATTGGTCCCTGGGGTCCTTCTCCTGTCCCTGGGTTCCCCTCCCACCCCCAGGGTCCCTACTGGTGCCTGGGGTCCCCCCTGGTCCCTCGGGTCCCCCCTGGTCCCCCGGGTCCCATCCTCATCCCTGGGGTCCCTCTCCTGTCCCTGGGGTCCCCTTCCCACCCCTGGGGTCCCATCCTGTCCCTGGGGTCCCATCCTGTCCCTGGGATCCCCCCTGGTCCCTGGGGTCCCCTCTGGTCCTTAGGGTCCCCTCTGGTCCTTGGGGTCCCATCCTGGTCCCTGGGGTCCCCCCTTATCCCTGGGGATCCCTCTCCTGTCCCTGGGGGTCCCTCCTGGTTCCTCCCCCCCCAGGGGTCCTTCCCCTCCCTTGGGGCCCCTCTCCCACCCCTGGGGGTCCCTCTCCTGCCCCTGGGGGTCCCTCCCTCGTCTCTGGGGTACCCGTGGAGCAGCTCCTGCCCCTCTTACAGGGGGAGAGGAAGGGACCAGAGACCCCCCCGGCCGCGGACGACACAGAAACCGCCTTCTGCGAGCCGGACCCCCCCCAGCCGCAGGTACCGCCCTCCCTCCGGGGGAGGGGCGGCCGCGTCCCGGCCCCTCCGGCCCCTCGGGAGGGTTTGTAGCCCCCCCAACACCCCATTTTCCTTCTCCCAGCCCGATTCCCCCCCAGCTGCCGGCGGCTCCGGGGACCCCGACACCGACTGAGGGTCCCGGGGGGGTCCCGGTGGCTTCCAGACCCCCCCGGGGAAGGCGAGGCCGCCCCGAGGGGCACCGCGGGCGCGGGGGGACCACGGGCGTGGCGAGCGGCCTCGGCCCTTCCCATGGATGCTCCAAATCCCGGGGGGAACGGGGACCCGCGTGGGACCGGGACCCGCCTGTGCTGTGCCCCCCGTGCCAGGACGGGGCTCGGGGTGGTGGCTCAGCCGAGCCAATAAAGTGGGATTTCACCCCAAAATCCCTGGAATTCCTCTGCCGGGACACTCAGGGCTCGGGGTGGTGGCACAGCCGAGCCAATAAAGCGGGATTTCACCCCAAAATCCCTGGAATTCCTCTGCCGGGACACTCGGGGTGGCGGCCCAGCCGAGCCAATAAAGCGGGATTTCACCCCAAAATCCCTGGAACTCCTCTGCCGGGACACTCAGGGTGGTGGCCCAGCCGAGCCAATAAAGTGGGATTTCACCCCAAAACCCCCGGAATTCCTCTGCCGGGACACTGGGGGTGGTGGCCCAGCCGAGCCAATAAAGTGGGATTTCACCCCAGAATCCCCGGAATTCCTCTGCCGGGACACTCGGGGTGGTGGCCCAGCCGAGCCAATAAAGCGGGATTTCACCCCAAAACCCCCGGAATTCCTCTGCCGGGACACTCAGGGCTCGGGGTGGTGGTACAGCTGAGCCAATAAAGCGGGATTTCACCCCAGAATCCCTGGAATTCCTCTGCCGGGACACTCATCCCCTCGTGCCCAGCCCACGCCGTCCCTTCCCCCCCCCCCCCGTCTTGGAACGTGGGGGCTCTGGGGGAAGGAGGTTTGGGGGCTCTGGGGGAAGGAGGTTTGGGGGCTCTGGGGGAAGGAGGTTTGGGGGCTCTTCTCTCACTCACACAGGGGACAAAAAAAACCCCAAAGAGGGTGGAAAAACCCTCCCGGCCCCCCCAAAGCAGCAGCTCCTCAGAACCCATGAACTCACCCGGGGGTGGGGACGGTGAAAATGTTCCCCCCACCCACGAGGTGTGGGAAGGGGGGCGGGGGAAAGAAAAGGTGCCAAAGCCAAAGGAAACACCCCAAGGGGGGGTCCTGGTGATTCGGGGCTCGGGGGGGGCCCCAGGCCGCGGTGCGGGGGTGGGGAGGGGGGGATGTCTCGGGGGAGGGGCTGGTCGGGCTGTGGGGGACGAAACGAGGACACCTGGAGGTGTGGACGGGGATTCATCGAGACCTTGGAGCCACAAATCCCAAATCCTTGGCCCCACAGACCCTTAAACCTCAGCAGAATAGACCCCACACCCCGGGCCCCACAGATCCCAAATCCCTGATCCCACAGATCCCAAATCCCTGATCCCACAGATCCCACATCCCTGATCCCACAGATCCCACATCCCTGGCCCCACAGATCCCAAATCCACGGCCCTGCAAATCCCAAATCCCTGACCCCATAAATCCCAAATCCCTGATCCCACAGATCCCAAATCCCTGACCCCACAGATCCCAAATCCCTGACCCCATAAATCCCAAATCCCTGACCCCACAGATCCCAAATCCCTGACCCCAGAGATCCCAAATCCACGGCCCTGCAAATCCCAAATCCCTGATCCCACAGATCCCAAATCCCTGACCCCACAGATCCCAAATCCCTGATCCCACAGATCCCAAATCCCTGACCCCACAGATCCCAAATCCCTGACCCCACAAATCCCAAATCCCTGACCCCACAAATCCCAAATCCCTGACCCCACAGATCCCAAATCCCTGACCCCATAAATCCCAAATCCCTGACCCCACAAATCCCAAATCCCTGACCCCACAAATCCCAAATCCCTGACCCCACAAATCCCAAATCCCTGGCCCCACAAATCCCAAATCCCTGACCCCACAGATCCCAAATCCCTGACCCCAGAGATCCCAAATCCCTGGCCCCACAAATCCCAAATCCCTGACCCCACAGATCCCAAATCCCTGGCCCCATAAATCCCAAATCCCTGACCCCACAAATCCCAAATCCCTGACCCCACAGATCCCAAATCCCTGGCCCCACAGATCCCAAATCCCTGACCCCACAGACCCTGAGCCCTTTTCCCCATAAACCCCCCGAGACGAAGAAAATAAAAAAAAAAAGTCAAAACAGGTTTATTTTATTAAAAAAAAAAAAATTGTACAATTTTATTCCCTCTATGAAAAAAAAAAAAAACAAACAACCAAAAAAAACAAAAAACCAACAAAAAAAACCAACCAAACACCAACCAAACTTCTACCACTGCCGGGCCAGTTCCCGACCCACTGCAAAACTGTAAAAACCAGCTTTTTTTTTTTTTATATATATATTAAAAAACAATTTTACATTTTACAACTTTCTACAACGCATGCACAAGGTCTGGGCTCTGCTGAGAGGAATCAAACCAACCCCGAAAACGGACCCCCAAAAAAAGGCTTTTTTTTTTTTTCTTATTTTCTTCTTCTTCTTAAAACTCCCGAGTGGAAAAATCCCGAGTGGAAAAATCCCCCCTCCCTGGGCCGACCCTTCGGTGTTTTTTTTGTAGTAGAACAGCCCCAAAACACCCCAAAAACGGGCTCCCACTGGGGGGGTGGAATTGGGTCCTTCGGCCTCCAGAGGGGAGCGGCAGGAGGGGGTCAGAAATTCCCCCCAAACGGAGATTCCCTGGAATTCGGGAAAGCCAAGCCCGGGCAGCGAGTGCTTGGGGGGGGTTGGACCCCACAGGACCCCCCCAGCACCGGGACTTTGCTACTGGTGCTGCTGGGGAAGCCCCTCCCTCCCCCTTCCCCCCCCCCAATTCACACCCTTTTAGTGCTTTTTTAGGATAAACCAACCCCCAAATCCCACCCGGCTCGAGCCTCCTCGGGGGGAAATCGGCCCCTCCACGAGCAAACCGACCCCGCAGGGACCAGCCCCAAACTCCCACTGGTGTGGCTGGATGTGGGAAAACATGAAAAAAAGGTGAAAATCAACCCGTGAGGTATTTGAGACCTTTAACAGAAACCAGGAGAAGGCAAAACGTTTCACACGTCCCGACAAGGCGGGAATTCCGTGGGATGGGAATTCCGTGGGGTGGCCACGACACCCATGGGACGTTAATTAAGGACCTTGTTGACCCCTCCCAGGAGCCTCTCGGGGCTGTAGGTCCAGGGCTGGACCCCAGGAGATGTTTTAAGCTGCTCTGCCTGCAATTCCGGCCCCAAGGACACCGGGAAGCCCCAGGGAGGTGCTGCTGGAAGCGGGAACGTGGGGTCACCTCGGGAGCGGCAGAACCCCCGTGAAAACCCCAAACCCGACCTTCTGCTCCTCTGAAAACAAATCACATCTGCTAAAAAAACCACCAGCAGAGGCGAGGAGGAGGAGGAGGAGGAGGAGGAGGAGGAGGCTCCTCCAGCCTGGAGTGTCCTGGAATGCCAGGGGAAGTTTTTTGTAGCAGCCACAGAGTGTGGAGCCGTTCACAAAAATACTCCACCCCCGCCCCTAAAAACAACAACAAAAAGTCTCTAGGGTTAAAAAAGCAGCCCCAAAGGGCGGGCTGGAAGTGGTTTAAGGCCAGAGCCGGGTCGGGGAGAAAAGGGGGAGGCAGGAGCAGAAGATCCCGGCGGTGCCCCGGGGACGCTGGTGAGGAAGGTTTGGGATTAGCCCTTGAGTGGTGGCACCGAGTCAGCGGCGCTGCTCCTTCCCTCCGTGGGGAGATGCTACAAGGCCCTGGGTTTCAGGGGGGAGCAGGAGGAGGAGGAGGAGGAGGAGGAGGAGGAGGAGGAGAAGGGGCTCAGCCCACCCCAGGGCAGAGGGCGGGTGACCACGAGCCCGGGCGGGCGCCGGAGCCGCTTCCCGGAGTTCTGCCCAAGGTCCTTCGGGTCCTTGACCCCCGAGGTGACCCCCCCTGAGGTCACCCCCCGAGGTGACCTCCCCGAGCCCCGGCGGGGCCGGAGGGGAACGGGGAGGGTCTCCCATCTGACCCCCTCTGCCAGCCCCGTTCAGCTCACACCGAGGTCTCCGACTGCAGCCTCATGATGAACTTGTGCGACTTGGGGTCCACGAACTCCTCCGAGAGCTTGAAGAAGGGGATCTTCTTGGTGCTCACCACCAGGCTGAAGTCCTGGCGCTTGAGCACGAAGACCACGCCGTCCTTGAGGCCGTTGGTGACCGGCTCCTCGCTGACCAGCGTCCACTGCTTGGCCAGCCAGCGGTCCTTGTGGTACTGGATGGTGGGCCCGGCCGTCAGGTACCGCTCCAGGAAGGCCTTGGGGAGGGGAGGGACACGGGAATGTCACGGGAATGTCACGGGAATGTCACGGGAATGTCACGGGAATGTCATGGGAACGTCATGGGAATGTCATGGGAATGTCACGGGAATGTCACGGGAATGTCACGGGAATGTCACGGGAATGTCACAGGAATGTCGCCTTCCCCTGGCTCCGCCTGGGGGGTTTTTTGCTTTCTGCAGCCTCGAGCTGCTCGGCAGGTCCTGCCGGAAAAACGTCCCTGGTTCCCACTGTGCTGATCCTGAGGGGCCACACCCACTCCTCTGGCTGGATCCTGGGATTACAGAGCTTGGGAAAGACCTCCAGGATCATCCAGCCCACCCTGTGCCCCATCCCCACCTTGGCCCCAGCCCAGAGCACTCAGTGCCACAGCCAGTCCTTCCCTGGGCACCTCCAGGGCTGGGCACTCCCCCACCTCCCTGGGCAGCCCCTGCCAAGGCCTGAACACCCTTTCCAGGGGGAAATTCCTCCTCATGGCCAACCTGACCCTCCCCTGGCACAGCTTGAGGCCATTTCCCCTCCTCCTGTCCCTTGTTCCCTGGGAGCAGAGCCCGACCCCCCCCGGCTCCCCCCTCCTGTCAGGGAATTCCAGAGCCAGAAGGTCCCCCCTGAGCCTCCTTTTCTCCAGGCTGAGCCCCCCCAGCTCCCTCAGGAGTCCTCCAGACCCTTCTCCTGCTGCTCCAGCCCCTCAAAGCGAATTGAGGGGCCCAGACCCTGACACAGCACTCGAGGTGTGACCCAGGACAGAGGGACAACCTCTGTCCTGCTCCTGTGTTTCCCCTTGTCCTGTCCCTCGTTCCCTGGGAGCAGGGCCCGGCCCCACCGTGCTACAACCTCCTGTCCTTGTCCCCCCCAGCAAAGGCGCGGCCCTGCCCCACCCCGCCCACCTTGGGGGTCATGTCGTGGGTGATGCAGAACTCCAGGTGCTGCAGGATGCTCTCCATGGTGTGGTAGGGCTGCTGCTTGGTGGTCCTCAGGTACTTCTGCATGGCCCGGGCCATGGAGGCGAAGATGGCCTGGGCGGCCTCGCGGGGGTCCATGATCTCCCGGGGGTTCTTCTGGTCCTCCTCCTGCAGCCTCTTGATGTGGGTGAAGGCTTCTTCCACCGCCACCACCAGCCTGTGGGGACGGGAGCCACGGGCGTGGATGTGGGGGGGTGAGAGACTCCCGGGGCTGGGGGGAGCCCCTTGCTGCCCAGCTGCGGGCAGAGCCCGAATTCCAGCCTGAAACAGCTCTGTGGGAGATCCCTCCACGCCACGGGACAGCCGGGATGGACGGGAAGTGCTGACCCACGGGGAGAGGAGCCCACAGAGCAGCAGGGCTGCTGGGAGAACCTAGGAGGGGACCCATGTTGGAGCAGTTCCTGGAGGACTGACCCCGTGGAATATGGACCTGGAGCAGTTCCTGAAGGACTGACCCCATGGAACATGGACCTGGAGCAGTTCCTGAAGGACTGACCCCATGGAAAACAGACCTGGGGCAGTTCCTGAAGGACTGACCCCATGGAACACAGACCTGGGGCAGTTCCTGAAGGACTGACCCCATGGAACACAGACCTGGAGCAGGACTGACCCCATAGAATACAGACCTGGAGCAGTTCCTGAAGGACTGACCCCATGGAACACAGACCTGGGGCAGTTCCTGAAGGACTGACCCCATGGAATACAGACCTGGAGCAGGACTGACCCCATAGAATACAGACCTGGGGCAGTTCCTGAAGGACTGACCCCATGGAAAACAGACCTGGAGCAGTTCCTGAAGGACTGACCCCACAGAATACAGATTTTGGAGCAGTTCCTGAAGGACTGACCCCATAGAACACAGACCTGGAGCAGTTCCTGAAGGACTGACCCCATGGAACACAGACCTGGAGCAGTTCCTGAAGGACTGACCCCATAGAATACAGACCTGGAGCAGTTCCTGAAGGACTGACCCCATGGAATACAGACCTGGAGCAGGACTGACCCCATAGAATACAGACCTGGAGCAGTTCCTGAAGGACTGACCCCATAGAACACAGACCTGGGGCAGTTCCTGAAGGACTGACCCCATGGAACACAGACCTGGGGCAGTTCCTGAAGGACTGACCCCACAGAACAAGGACCTGGAGCAGCTCCCGGAGGACTGACCCCAGACCTGGAGCAGCTCCCAAAGGACTGACCCCACAGAACAAGGACCTGGAGCAGCTCCCAAAGGACTGACCCCACAGAACCCCCCCGCGGCCGGTGCCAGCCCCGTACCTGGCGCGGCGTTTGCGGACCCTGCGCTCGTGCTCGGCCTCCTCGTAGTAGAACTCGTTGTGGCTGTTGTCCCGGCGCCGCGCGGCCGCCGCGATCACGGCCCGGGGCTGCCCCGTCGAGTTGTTGGTGGAGTTCTCTGCGGGGGGACACAGGGGGGTCAGACAAGGCCCGGGAGCCCTCGGGGTGCCTGGCACTCCCCGGATCCCACCCCGGGCTCTCCGGAGCCGGAGGGGAAGGGGAGAACAAGAGGAGAAGAAGAGGGGCAGAGAAGGAGCTCAGCTCACCCTCGCCGAGGGAATAGACCTTGAACCCGGACATTTTCTTGGACAGGACGGATTTGGGCAGGTTGAGCAGGGCGGGGTTGTACACCGGGAAGTCGTGGTAATAGTTCTCCAGGATCCACACGGCCGCTCGCTGGATGCTGCGGGGAGAGAGGGGCGGGAGCGGGTGGGGAGGGGACACAGGGAGGGGAGGGAGGGATGGGCAGGTTTCCCAGGGAAGCTGCAGCTGCCCCCCATCCCTGGAAGTGTCCAAGGCCAGGCTGGAGCAACCTGGGATAGCAGAAGGTGTCCCTTCCCATGGGAACTGGATGATCTTTAAGGTCCCTTCCAACCCAACCCATTCCAGGATTCCATGTGCTGGCTGAGGTGGGATACGGGGAAGAAATTGTTCCCTGTGAGGGTGGGAAGGCCCTGGCACAGGTTACTCCGTGGCTGCCCCATCCCTGGAAGTGTCCAAGGCCAGGTTGGACGGGGCTTGGAGCAACCTGGTCTGGTGGAAAGTGTCCCTGCCCGTGGCAGGGAGGTGGAATGAGACAACTCTCAGGGTCCTTCCAGCCCAAACCATTCCAGGATTCCATCAATTCACAGGACTATTAAGGTTGGAAAAGCCCTCTGAGATCCTCAAGTCCATCCCGTGCCCCATCCCCACCTTGTCACTCAGTGCCATGTCCACTCCTTCCCTGGACACCTCCAGGGCTGGGCACTCCCCCACCTCCCCGGGCAGCCCCTGACAAGGTCCAACCACCCTTCCCACGAGGAACACCCTCCCCCCCAAACCACACATCCACCACCCCCTTCCACTCACAGGAACGCTCCACCACCCCAAAAAACCCGCCGGGTACCTGAGGTGCCCGACGTTGTAGAAGCGACTGGCGCCGTCGGCCGAGCGAACGGCCTTGAGGGTGAACTGGGGCTGGAGCTGGCGCAGCTCCAGCAGCACCACGGCCAGGTAGTGCACGAAGAGCAGGGCGTCCACCAGCGACACGGCGAACTGCACCACGCCCCGGTAGTCGCGGTCCCGCGAGTCCAGGATGCGGACGCCGTAGAAGAGCCAGTAGGACACGACCAGCAGGAAGACCAGCACCATGAGCAGCGCCCGGAAGACGAAGACGCGCGGGAAGAAGGCCTTGGGGCGGCGGAAGAACAGGGCCCAGCTGCCCAGCAGGAGGATGAGGAGCTTGAAGGCCATGGAGATGAAGAGCCCCTCGCAGGGCGTCCCGCAGGGCTCCAGCTCCTCCCGCCACAGCAGCTGGGGCAGCAGCAGGAAGGCCAGGGGGGTGAGGAAGGCCAGCAGCGCCAGCGCCCCGGCCAGCGCCACGCCCAGGTGCCGGGAGCAGTCCAGGTGGGCGCTGTCCTCCATGTCCTTGGTGATGCGGGTGATGTCATCGTGGGAGATGCTGTGCTCCGACGTCCCCGTCACCACCGTGGTGGTCTCGCCCCAGTTGTCGTCCTGGGGGGGGTTACACAGGGGAGGGTTACGCGGGGCAGGGCCCTCAGCAGACCCTCCAGCCCAGCCCCAAGCCCACCCACCCCACCTCGTCGCCCGCGGCGCTGCCGGGCGCCGTCACCCCCATTGGGGTGGTGGGACCCCAGGCCGGGGTGGGGGCAGGCAGGGATTTGGGTGGGACCCTCTGGAAAAGCCCGGCCGGGGCTCCTTTCCGCGCTCCGGCACCGGCGAGAGCGGCTCTGGGAGTGGGAAGTCTCCTCCTCATTGGTGGGGCCAGAAGGAACATGCCCAGCTCCTGTCCCAACACACCCGGGAAGGAGTCCCTGGGATCCCAGCAGGTCTCCTCCTCCTCCTCCTCCTCCCCCCAGAACCTCCTCCCGCGGCCGCAGCGGTGCCCAAACCACCCGTTCCCGTTTGATCCCTTCCCACACGTCTGTCCCCGTGTCCATCCCCTCCCTTCCCACACGTCTGTCCCCGTGTCCATCCCCTCCCTCAGCCCTTCCCAGCCTGGTGTGCAGCGCTCAGACCCCCCTGAAACTCGGAGGGTTTTCATCATCATGTGGGTTTTCCCACGGATTTCTTCAGGAAAGCCAGGAAATTCCTCCCTGTGAGGGGTGGGGAGGCCCTGGAAAAGGTTGCCCAGAGAAGTTGTGGCTTCCCTATCCCTGGAAGTGTCCAAGGCCAGGCTGGACAGGGCTTGGAGCACCCTGGGGCTGGTGAGAGGTGTCCCTGCCCATGGCAGGGGGTGGGACTGGAGGAGCTTAAAGGTTCCTCCCAACCCGAACCATTCCATGAATCTGGGAATATTATTTCAAGTTCAACCAAACCCTCGTCCCGGGGCTTTCCAGAGGGACGGGAAGCAGAGGGTTTGGGGGGGCCTAAATCCAGCCCTTGCCCAGGAGAGCCCTGGATGCCACGGCTGGACCGGGCAGGCTCAGCCTCCGCCGGCGCCGGCTCCTGGGAGAGGGAGGATGAAAAGAGCCGAAAAGAGCCGGAGCCGCCGGCGTGGGCGGCTGGGAGAGGATGAAAGCCCGGGATGAGGCTCCGCGGAGTCCCGAGGAATCCCAGCACCCACGGAGGGCACGAGGGACCCCTGTGGGCCAGCGGGAGACACGACACGGAGCCTCCTCCGCGATCCCGCCGGGATGGGGAGCCGGGATGGGGCTCCCGCCGAGCCGGCATCGCCCCCCGGGCGCGGTGCTGATCCCTGGGGAGCGCATCCCTAGGGATTGGATCCCTGGGGGTGTTTTCCAGCCCGTGCTGAGCCCGGGGGCACCGCGACAGCCGGTCCCCCCTTTCATTTGCCCCGGCCCGACCCAACCGGCTCGACCGCTCCGCCGGGAAGCTCCGCCGGGAAGCACCGGGCGTGTCGGGAGCCCCCGCCAGCGGCTCCCACCCTCGGCAGCACCCCCGGGGGCGGTACAGAGGTGCCAGCCCCGTCCTGGCCCCCTCCCCACGCCCGACTCACCCTCTCGTCCCCCCGGGTGGACTCGTTGTCCAAGAGGGGCTCTCCCGGCGCTTGGATGGTCACGGATTTATCCCCCCGGCTCCCGTCCCGGCTTTTGGAGCGATGCCGGTCCCGCCGGTCCCTGGAAGGCAAGAGAGGGGAGCAGGGTGGGCAGGGCGGGGTGGCAGCGCCCGCCGGGGCCGGGGGGACCCCTGGAGCCCTCACCTGTGCTTGCGGGAGCTGCGGGAATGGCCGGATTTGTAGGAATATCCCGAGTACTGCGACTCATTGTCCATGTTGTCGGAGCGCCGGGGCTTGTGCCGCTCCAGGCCGAGGGCTTTGGATCTGCCCGGCCCCGGGACGGCGGGCAGGGCCTCCTTCAGGGGGGGCTTCTTCAGGCCCAGGGGCACCTTCAAGAAGTCGACCGTCACCTTGAGGGTCTCTATTTTGATCACCTGGTCGGGCTCTTCTCAGGAGAAAAGGGCTCGTCCACCTGCGGGGACGGAGGGGAGGCTCAGCGGCGGCATCCCGGCATCCCGGCATTCCCACAGGGAATATCCCAGCGGAGGGTCCCATCCCCTGCGGCCCCGGCAGCAGCAGGGGCGGGACAGCGGCAGGAAAAAGGATTTTGGGGCATTTTGGGGGTTTCTCCCGTGCCCGGGCTGGAGCCCGGCTGGCCGCCCTTCCCCCCAATTAACCGCTGGGATTTACACCTTAATTAACGCCACCATCATTAGTTTAACTGCCAAGACGGTGCCCAAGGGGTGGGGGCCCGAAGGAAGGGGAGGAATAACCGGGTGCAGACGAGGTTCCAGGCCCAGCCGGGCGGGGGGAGCTCTGCCCGGACACGTTCCCTGCGCCGGGATCCCACACCCGGGAGAGCCCCGGGAGAGTCCGGGAGCAGCCATTCCCCGGGATGCAGCTCTCCAGGGGCTCCAGGAGCAGCCATTCCAATGGGATGCAGCTCTCCAGAGGCTCCAGGAGCAGCGATTCCCCGGGATGCAGCTCTCCAGGGGCTCCAGGAGCAGCGATTCCCCGGGATGCAGCTCTCCAGGGGCTCCAGGAGCGGTGATTCCCTGGGATGCAGCTCTCCAGGGGCTCCAGGAGCAGCCATTCCCCGGGATGCAGCTCTCCAGGGGCTCCAGGAGCAGCCATTCCCCGGGATGCAGCTCTCCAGGGGCTCCAGGAGCAGCCATTCCCTGGGATGCAGCTCTCCAGGGGATCCAGGGACAGCAGGGAGCTCCTGACCCACTCGGGTGTAAATCCCACGTGTGGTGCCCACCCATGTCTGGTTCCATGGGATGGGAAAACAACCCCGTTCCCAGATCCCAGGCACAAGGCACCGGGAATCTGTGGGATGCAGGAGGACCTGGGGTCCCATTCCAGCTCATCCCACTGCCTTTGGGGACCCCCAAAGTGCCCTGGTTTGTCACTTTGGGGACTGTGTCCCCCCTCCAGGGAGGGAATTTGGACACGTGGGACCTCCAGGGCTGCCTGATCCAACCCAGGAATGTTGGATCCCGTTGGAGCGTCCTGCAAATCCTCCTGCCACCCCCCCGAGGTGCTGGGGGGGCACCCCCAGAGCCCCGAACCCCTCGTGCTGGGGGCCCAGCCGTGTTTGGGAGCCACCCCGGGTTTCCAGGGAAATGCCATTCCCACCAAACAACCCCCCAAATGTCTTTTGGCCTCTTTTCCGAGGCCTCCAGGAGTGGGAGCCGGGGTCAAGGAGGCGAAAAGGGGGGGGGGCTGAGAGGATGGATTCTTTTGTCCCAGACGCTGGATGCTCCCACATTTATCACTATGGAAACAAAAGCCACCACGTCCCCCCCCCGGCGTTGTCCGGGAGATGGGAACGGCGCCGGGAGCGCGTCCCGGCATTCCCAGCGAGCGCTGGGGGAAGGGGCCAGGAGAGAAAAGACCCCCCTGTGCCCCCCCCTCGCCCCCCCCTTTCCCGGGCTTTGTTTGCGGGCAGGGATCGGGTTTCTGCCGGGAACAATGCCTGGAGCCGCCTCCGCCCAGCTCCGGCCCCAGTGACACCAGTAAGAGGCCGGTACTGGGATTTGGGGGGGGGTCGGGGGTCTCTCACTCACCCGAGGGGCAGCGCGGGGGGTCCGGGCGAGGCGGCTGCAGGCGGGCACCGACCCCCGTCCCGCTGCTCTCCGAGGCACTGGGAGCACCCGGAGCCTCCGGAGGGGTCGGCATCCAGCTGGTGGGCACCCGAGGGGGGGTGGGCATCGAGGGGGGGGCTCACGGCACGGGCGGCAGCGCCGGGGGGCCGCGGTGGAGCTGCGGAGAGAGAGAGGGAGATCAGGAATGCCCGCATCCCGCCGGGAATGTCGCCTCGGGAGCACCTGGGAAGAGCAGGGGAGGAAGGTGAGGGTGGGATGGATTCCCCCCTACACACCCCTGCGGCCCTAAAAACTGCCCGAGGCCAGCTCCCTGATCGACCAGTCCAATGAAATTTGGGGTTTTCCAGGGATTTGGGGTTTTGCAGGGATTTGACGCCCCTCGGGCACCACAATCCCATGGGCAGCAGCCCCGTGTCACCCCCGAGCCAGGGGTGCCCTGGGGCTGTGCTGGTGGTGTGGGGACCTCAGGACAACCCCTGGCATTGCCACCCTGAGGGATCAGCCAAATTAACTCCGGGATTTTCCAGGTATCCCGATTTCCCAGGGATTTAACACCACTCGGCCACCACACTGGAATTCCCCCCCTGGAATCCAGGGGTTCCCATGGCCGTGCCAGTGGCCTGGGGACATCAGGACACCCCCAAACCTGCCCGGTGTCACCACCACCAGCGAGCAGCTGAAAGGAACCATGAGCGAGCAGCTGAAAGGAAGTTGGGATTTTCCAGACATCCAAGTGTCTCACGGCACCGGCCCAGGGATTTGAGGCCCCTTGGCCACCACAGTCCCACATTCCAACCCCTCTGGAATTCTCCCCTCTGATCCAGGGGTCCCCCTGGCTGTGCTGGTGGGGGGGGGGAGATCCAGGGGCTCTCCAGATCCATAGTGGGGGGATGGAGGTCGATCCATTCCGAGGGAGAACCAGGCACTGATTCCAGCTGGGAGCGAGTGAGGAGCTGGGGGAGCTTGGCTTGTCCTTCCCAAGCTGGTGACACGCCACAGGCTGGGGGGGAGGCCTCGGGGGGCTTTCCCAGGCTTTTCCAGTGGGGTAGATGGATTTTTCCAGCGTGATCCGTGGATTTCCACACCCGGACCAAGGCTGGACCCTCCGTCCTGCCCGAACCAACTTCCTCCCCAGGGGCTGGCGGGGGAATCACCCCCATCCCAGCAGTTTTCCAAGGATAATTGGGAATTCAGGCAGCCATCCTGCCCCTGGAAGCAGGAGCTCCTCGGTGCTTGTCTGGCTGCTCCAGCAGGGAAAAAGGGATGGTCTGGCCGGCAGAGCTGGGCAAAGCCGGTTGAGCAGCACGGGGCACTCCGCTGGAGAGGCTGGGAAGGGATTCCTGGTGTCTCCAGGAGAAGCAGCTTCGCCTTCCCGGGCCCAGGGAGCCGCCGAGGGAGCGCCGGGAGCCGGAGCCGGATGCAAACGAGGAGGAGAACTCCCATTTTTAGCAGCCAGGTGATTATGGAGCGTCAGAACAAACCCTGCCCAGGGGGAGCCGAGGGTTTTTTGCCCTCTCCCGACGTCTTTCAAGCCCAGGCTGGATGATGGTTCCTGGGGATGGGGCCGGTTCAAAGCTCGGAAAAGCCGCTGCCTTTGAGTCCCCAACCTCAAACACCCACTGGCTTTTTGTATTCAAATGCTCTCCCCCCAAAAAAATAATATAAAATAATAAAAAAATAGATCCAAGCGTTTTGGAGATGAAAAGGCTGGTTTCAAACAGCTCCAGGGCGAATCCTGAGGGGAATCCTCTCCTGCCTTGCTCCCCTCGGGACTGAGAGCCAGACATGAGGCATCCTGGAGAAAAATCCTCTTGGAGCAAAGGGCAGAGGGAGAATCCAGTGGCTGAGCAATTCTCCTGGCCAAGAGGGTTTGGGAAGGGAGCAGGGAGCACCCACTGCCATTTACACCCCCGGTGCTCTTCTCCCAGCACCTGCAAATCCAGGACAGTTCCCTGAGCGCTGGCATTAGGGCAGGAACCCGGGATGTGGATCCGAGAGGAGTGTGAGCAGGGCCTGGCCAGAGCTGCCTCCCCACTGCCAGGGAGCAGGAGGAGCCACCCAGGTGTTCTCCTAGACAGAATCCCAGAATCCCTGAGGCTGGAAAAGCCCTCCCAGCCCATGGATCCCCCTGTGCCCCATCCCCACCTTGGCCCCAGCCCAGAGCACTCAGTGCCACAGCCAAGCCTTCCCTGGGCACCTCCAGGGCTGGGCACTCCCCCACCTCCCCGGGCAGCCCCTGCCAAGGCCTGAACACCCTTTCCAGGGGGAAATTCCTCCTCATGGCCAACCTGACCCTCCCCTGGCACAGCTTGAGGCCGTTTCCCCTCCTCCTGTCCCTTGTTCCCTGGGAGCAGAGCCCGACCCCCCCCGGCTCCCCCCTCCTGTCAGGAGTTGTGCAGAGTGGGGAGGTCTCCCCTGAGCCTCTTCCTCTCCAGGCTGAGCCCCCCCAGCTCCCTCAGCCTCTCCTCATGGGAATTGTGCTCCAGCCCCTTCCCCAGCCTGGCTGCTCTTCCCTGGCCCTGCTCCAGCCCCTCCATGTCCTTCCTGAGCTGAGGGCCCAGAGCTGGACACGGCACTCCAGGGGTGGCCTCACCAGCGCTGATGTCCTGTCCCACCACGGGGGTCCCAGGGACCCCTGAGGGGCAATGGCTGTGCTGGTGACACCAAAACCGGCCTGGGAACGGCCAAACCAGGCCTGCTGAGCGGAGCAGCAGCAGCAGCAGCAGCAGCAGCAGCACATTTGTTTGCTTGGCTACCCCAACACGCCCTGGTGCCTCCACACAATGGGCACCTTCCCCGGGAAGCCCCCGCCGGGCTCCCCCCTCCAGCTCCTGAGGACTCGGGGGGGGGGGACGGGGCTGTGGCTGCTTCCCAGACACTGGGGACATCACTGGGGACATTGGGGACATTGGGGATATCAGGAGGTGGGTGCCCAAGGAGCAGGAGGGGGGTGGGACCTCACGGAACTTCGTGGTTTTTCTCCAAGGGAAAGGTCGTCGGGGGGCGTTGGAAGGGAACAAGGGACAGGAGGAGGGGAAACGGCCTCAAGCTGTGCCAGGGGAGGGTCAGGTTGGCCATGAGGAGGAATTTCCCCCTGGAAAGGGTGTTCAGGCCTTGGCAGGGGCTGCCCAGGGAGGTGGGGGAGTGCCCAGCCCTGGAGGTGCCCAGGGAAGGACTGGCTGTGGCACTGAGTGCTCTGGGCTGGGGCCAAGGTGGGGATGGGGCACAGGGGGCACTCGGTGACCCAGGAGGGCTTTTCCAACCTCAGGAATTCTGTGACTGGTGAGGAGAAGCCCCATGGGAGCTCCTGCTTGGATGAGGGGGCAGATGGGCTCCCCAGGCAGGAGCTGTGGGCTCAAAACAGATCCCACATCTATCCAAGCCCCAACCACCCAGCAGGGAACCAGGGAGAGGCCTCCAAGGCAAGTCACCTCCCTCCCCCCTCACTCACCCCTCCCGAAGCTCAAATCCCAATTTTCCTCCCTTTTCCTTGGCCCACCCACCCCTGGGAGCTGCAGTTTCACCGGGAGCTCAGGGCAGGTCCCTCGACCCCGAGGCTGCTTCCCGTGGCTGAGTCCCCCCAAGCCGGGCTGGGAGGGCCCTTCCCGCCCCTGGAAAAGCCCCTGCCGGCGGGAATCCACGGACTCCCAGCGTTTTGGTCCGTTGGCGCTCCGGAGGGAGGCGGGAAAGGCCCCTGGGAAGCCCGAGTGGCTCAATCCCAGCCCCCCCGGGGGCTCATTCTGCTCTCCGGTCGCTCAGCGTCGGCTCGGAGGCAGGAGGTTTAATATCCCTTCCAAAGTGCCACCTCCAATTAGGGTCACCCGGGATTGTCACAATATCCAAAGGAAGGGCCAATCCCCGGAGCTGCTCCGGCCCCGCCGCGGCTCCTCCGGCCGGGAATTCCCACGGAATTCCCACGGAATTCCCACGGAATTCCCACTGGGGGCCGAAGCCCAGCCCTGCTCCCGGCACTGGGACCCCGCTGGGAGTGCTGGGGATGCACTGCCTGCCCCTGGCACGGGGAAAAGTGGGATCTGGAACCATGGGGGGAAAGGGAAGGGGCAACAGGCAGGGATTTGCTCGGGAACGGGGCTGGATGAAAAGGGGGAAAGGTGCTTGGGATGCAAAGTGTGCACTGAGGGATCCGACACCGAGGGATTCGACACTGAGGGATCCGACACCAATGGATCCCACACAGAGGGATCCTACACCAATGGATCCCACACAGAGGGATCCAACACCAATGGATCCCACACAGAGGGATCCTACACCAATGGATCCCACACAGAGGGATCCTACACCAATGGATCCCACACAGAGGGATCCAACACCAATGGATCCCACACAGAGGGATCCAACACCAATGGATCCCACACAGAGGGATCCTACACCAAGGGATCCCACACAGAGGGATCCTACACCAAGGGAACCCACACAGAGGGATCCTACACCAATGGATCCTACACCAACGGATCCCACACCAATGGATCCTACACCAACGGATCCCACACCAATGGATCCCACACAGAGGGATCTGACACTGAGGGATTCGACACTGAGGGATCCCACACTAATGGATCCTACACCAATGGATCCTACACCAATGGATCCCACACCAGGGGATCCCACACTGATCCCACCCGATCCATGCCTCCCTTCCCAGGGCTCCACGCCTGGCACAGGTCTCAGCCCACATCCCACATCCCTGACTCCTCCATCCACCTCATCCCAAGCTCTCGGGGAGGGGATGTCTCCATGGAGACGAGCAGCAGCCTTTCCCACTGCCCAGATCCCACCTCCCCGGCCCCCTCCTGCTCCCACCACACCAGTGGCACTTCCAGGTGGGACAAACCTTTCGGAGAGCCCAGGAGGCAGGAGGAGGCCCAGGGAGGAGTCCCAGGCTGCTCCCAAGGGGCACCACGGGATGCTGGGGCAGGAGGAGCCCAGGAGGCACCAGGGGCTGTGCTCCTGGAGATCCATGGCCTTGGAATTCAGCCTGTTCTCCAAGAGCAGCCTCCCAAACTCTGGGCCCCAAAAGGCCCATTCCTACCCCAAAAAGGCCCATTCCCACCCCAAAAGGACCCCCAGAGCACCAAGGGCCGCGCTTTTAGATCCCTCACAGCTCTGCTCCATCGTTTCCAGGTGCCTGACAACCCTCCCAAATCCCACCAGGCAGCATTTTCCGTGCCTCGGATCTGGGAAAAGCAGCAGAGACGGGATCTGTCCGGGATCAAGGAGCGAGGGGACCGTGTTCACCCATCACCACAGTTGCCCTTGGAGGTGCCAGGGCTGGAATCCCTCTCTGGGGTCCGGCTTTGGCTCCGTGGTGCCCGGGAACAGCCCGGGAAGGGCAGGGATGGTCCCTGGTTTCCTCCGAGGCCCCTTCCCGAGGATCCCGGCCGGACAATAAAGCCATAAAGGATCTGCCACCCGCTCCAGCCCTCGGAAAACACAACTGAAATCTAAAAATCAAGCCAGACCCAAGACGTGGGGCCGACCCAGCGCTGCCCAGACGCCGGGAGATGGGCTCTCCCCCCCTTCCCAGCCCCCCTCCGGCCCCATTGTCTGCGAGCTGGTGAAAACAAGGAACCACATTGGATCATTCCAAAGGCTGGAGGGAGCCCAGACGGAGCACGGGGGGTGCCCCGGCCCCGTTCCCACAAAGGGGGCTGCCCGTGGCACACGGTGACCCTCACCCCAAACCGGCCACCCCACGGTGCCCCGGCCAGGCAGGGAGCCACCGGCGGCTCGGCTGCTAATTAAATCATCCAATCTCATCCCGAGCTTCCCCCCCCCCGGCACAAAGACACCGGGAATACACGGGAGAAACACGGGGATCACATCTGACTGAGGCTGCCTCGGAGCCCAGCTCGGTCCCAGCACAATCCCCAATTGCTGTGATTAAGCACCAGCCGTCCCCAGAGGCTCCGTGAAGATAATATTTAATTCTTATTCTTCTTTTTTTTTTGTGTGGTTTTTTTTTTAACCTCCACCGAGGCCTGGGGGAGTGGGGGTGGTAAAAAAGAGCCTCTACGCCCTCTCCCAAGGAAAAAAAATAAAGCCCCAGACAGAGCGGCAGGGCCGACGTGGTGTGGAGGAGAAGGGAACTCCCTGTTGGCTCCGGGCTCTGCCAGGACCGGACCAAGATAAACCGGCTCAGGATCCGGCCGGGGCTGTGCTCCGAGCAGGTGGAGGCACGGGCAGAGCCGGGGGGCACGGGCAGAGCCGGGGGGCGAGGGCAGAGCCGGGGGGCACGGGCAGAGCCGGGGGGCAGCGGGCAGAGCCGGGGGGCAGCGGCCAGAGCCGGGGGGCAGCGGGCAGACCCTGCCCCGCGGGACCCCCAGCCCTGGCAGGAACAGCGGCCGCTCTCCCCTCGCCATCCTCGGCGCTGCCACCGCGCCCTGGCACCGGGCAGGTGGCGGGGGGGACACGGAGGGGACACGGAGGGGACACGGAGGGGACACCCCGCAGGTGCCCCCGCGCGGGGGTGATGGGCAGGGGGGCAGCGCCGGGCTGAGCCGGGCAGGGCACAAAGGGCTCGGTGGGTACCGTGACATCGTGCCTGAGCAGCCGGGGGGGTCCCGGGGGGTGGGTCGCGGTCCCTCCGCATCGCCCACCGGGGAGACTCCCCGGGAGCCCCGCGCAAGGGAAGCGGCAGCACCCGGGGGGAGCGGGGCCATCCCCGGGGGCA